AAGGTCGTGTTAACTATTTCATTTTTTTTTTTTAATAAGCGTCCTCTCTCCCTCTCCTGTATCTGTGGACCCACAGACCCTGTCCTGTGTCCGTCACCATGATGAATAGGACGTCCCTGCCTGTCAACGTTCTGCTGACAGACACTCTGTAATCGTTTTCTCTCATGTTGTCAGTGGAGACGAGGATTGTGCATAACGACCAAACCGTTGTTCTGTGTCAGAAAAAAACAACAACAAACAAACAAGTGAACGTTCAGTCTCAGGCTCATCCGCACATACATTGATAAAAATAAATTCTCATATGAAGTTGTCAACGTGTTGGTGCAACAACAGCGGAAGATTCTCTGAAACGCTGCAGACCTGCTACAGTAGAATTACAACTAGCAGCTTGGAGGAAGGTTCTGTCAAACCCACGCGTCCGTGAAGCGGTCTGTTTATATGACGGTGCCTGTGACCTTTGTCACACGTTCGACAACTGAATCAAAACTGAGGAGAAAGAAATGGAACCTTTGACTTTAGATCTGCCGACGCTTATGATGCTCAATATCTGCAGTTAGTTGAAAACGTCTGATGTCATTGATGTTGTGATGTGTGTGTGTGTGTGTGTGTGTTGGTGTGATCCTGGTGGAACTGGTGAAGGCACTTTGTGTTTGTGAAGACGTCTTAGTCCTGTTGTCACAGGCTCTGAGTGAGAGAGTATTTTGAGTTTGTTTATTTTATTTAAGATCTTTTGATTCTTTTATATTTATTTGGAGTTGGATTTAGCTAAGATAAGAGTTAGGATGAAGATTAGGATTAATCATAATTTGTTATACACATGTTTAGAGATAGGGTCTAGAAAATATTATATATGACTCCAAGTGCTGATAAAACACTGAAATCAGTGTGTGTGTGTGTGTGTTTTGATCTGCTCTCAGCAACACCTCTCAGACGTTTTAACAGTCCCTGGAGAATGGACACAGTGATGTCATAGTTGGCCCGGTGTGGACGGAGCTCAGAGAAACAGTGACACTTTGCCTGTACTCTGCCACACTGTTTTCAGCAGCAGCAGTTCTTTCTTTTAGTGAATCACTGTCGTATCCACTCATGGTCCGGCCACAAACTTTGGCAACAACATATTTAAAGTGAGCAATTTGTCTAATTTTTACAGAAAGCGTGAGTGATTTAAAATGAGGTGGAAATGAAATGATTAACATTTATGAAGCCGATTCAACATCAGGTCAAATGTCACAAATATCGTTGAACTCTGACTAATTATGTGACCTGATGATGATGTAGTTTCCCAACAATATTTCAGATCAGGGGGTGAAACGATCATTGTTGATTGGTTGTTTTAATAGATTTACAGAAACAGCAGAAATGAATCTGTATCATTTTTGTTGTGAACGTTTCCTTGGACAGTTTGTTGTTACTGACATCAGGGCTTGAAGTAGCTCAGTAAGATGAATCACTGGAACAGGATTAGAATCTGGAACTGAGGCTGTGACTTCCTGTTACCACTGGAAACCAATGACACTGATTAGGATGGAAAAAACATTAACATGTTCCATGAAGGACAAGATGGAAGGTTTTATTTTGTTTAGATAATTTAGATATTTTTGTGATGCGAATCATTTTTTATTTGCTCGACTGACTTTTTTATTATTCGTTTTCTGTTTCCTTTCTGCACGTCTTGTCCTGAAATCTGTTCAGACTCATAAAAACAGTAATAATGTTGCCTCATTTATATTTTAGTTGTGTGTTCACTGCCTCAGACTGCAGCAGTGACTCGGCTGTTATTTGATGGCGTCAGACAAATAGTCAGACGTGTGGCAGAAAAGCTCATCTCCGCTGATTGGTGGCGCTGCAGCACCGAAATGAGCACAACGTCACCGGGCTGTGTTACTGTTGCTTTAATTTTCCAGTCGACTTCACACAGCGTTATCTCAGAACTCAGACAAAGGCGGTGGGTCTGAGGGAAGGCATGGGTTCAGACTGGGGGAAATTAGATCAGGACCAGAGAAATAAGTCGTTAAATGCCGGCTCCGGTCGAACTCGAGTGTCTGAGGATGAAGAGGGAAGGAGTCACCGTCATTAACCAAGACGTCACGTCACTTGACTTCTTGTTTCTAAAGACGCCGAGCGATGGAGTTAAAATCCAAGTTTAAAAGAAAGGGCATTTCTTTTTTTGTCAAACTGTGTGTGTGTGTGTGAGTGAGGGAGAGAGAGAGAAAGAGAGAGAGAGACATGGACACGTTATCAATGGAAGATATTACGTCTGTAGGATTTGTCAGTATATATATTTAATATTTACTTCTGTTCTATAGGGCAATGTGGTGGAAGTGTGGTTCATGCCCCTGCCTCTTGTCAAGAAGGTCGCACGTTCAATCCCCAGTAGTACTGTAACCGATGGTGTTTTTGTGCAGGAATTTGCATGTTCTCCCATCGTGTCAGTGTTTGCTCCTGGTACTGCAGTTGTATTTTCTTTATATATTATATAATATTTGTATATTGACGGTCACTCAGAGAATATACAAACAGAACTGCTTTAGATTTATTTCTCCTGACCATCACTGATCCCTTTTCCACTGAAGTCTTCAGGTTTTCTGGCTCCCCTCTCCTCCTCCTCCTCCTCCTCCCCCTGCTCCTCCTTGCACCTCCCTCAGTGTGTAAATGTGGAACATTGTATGTGGAGCAGCACGGTGGCTGAGCCTCAGTCCATCAGTGTTCCGTTTTAGGTGCCTTTAAACAGAGCGTTCTCATTTTGGGAGTTCAGATTAGGATATTTTTACCGCAGCAGGTCAGCTGAGACTCCTGTGTCTTAAAAATGACCTTCCTCTAAACCAGCCCTCTCCCCCCCCCCGACTTAAAGAAAAGAGTGAGTGTGAAAAGGGAGGTGAGCGGAGAGAAAAGTTTATCTAACAGATCTGACCTGAGTCAAGAGACAGAAGCGGAGCAGATGACATGTGGCGTCTGCTCTGCCACCAGAGTTATTTATGTCAGGAAAGTGGATCATTGCAGATGTTTGATCTCCCCTGACACAGATGCTCCCTCTGTATTTTCCATTGGTGAGCGAGTCTTTGGATCAGAAGATGTGCAAAAATAATACTGGCAAAGACATCTTGAACACATCAGCACAGAGAGAGAGAGAGAGAGAGAGATTATCATTTTTATTCAAAGATTAAAAAGATCATATGGTGGAGGAGTGGTTAGGGCTTTTGCCTTACAGTGTTAACTTCCCTAGTAGAAACTTTTTCATGTTCACCCTGCGTGAAGGGGGCGGGGCTTCTCCAGGTACACTGGTTTTCTCCCACAGTAGTTATGAATAATTATATCACCTGTGACCACAAGAGGGCACTTGATTCAGATTCATTATTTTATTTTTTATTTTTTTCCATTAAGTTTTTTCTCTTCCTTTTGTGCACCGACTACTTCAATCCAAAAAGTCCAATCTTTTCTCTCCAGAGTTCATTGGAGACGACAGATCAGTGTTCCACTTCTGTAGCTCTTCAGTTCCATTTATCTTATATCGTTCAGTCGTAGTTTCACTACTGAAGTGATTTGGATTGATTTTTTTTTCTTTATTTGATTTACCAAATATATGTAAAAAATTGAAATCCAATTGTTTCAAGGACATCAACTTCTTTGACGATGACTCACTGCTGTTACTGGATGTTACAGTAAACTCTATAATCAATCTTTTGTGTCCTTCCTTTGATGCCAAAATGTATCCAAGCAAGTTTTTGGTTCAGAAAAAAATATAGTCTTCAGAGGATCATTTACAATAAAATTATGAATCACTGCAGTAATCACTTCCTTCCTGTTAGTCGGTGCACAATTTAAATTTTTTTGTAGAGAATCAGCCAAAACCTGGAAACGTCTTTACTGTTTATCACTGCTACTTTACAACCAATGTCGACTGACGGCTGTGGTTACTGGGTGAGCGGTGGTGGTGGTGGTGGGGGTGGGGGGGGCACACTGACAATTGTTCATGTGCCTGGCCCTGGGGTCAAACAGCGGCCTCTCTCTCTGACTTAGTCTCTTTGTTGTGGTGTCACATTGTGCCAGTCTGCAGTATGGGCCGACTGTCAGTGTGTGAGCGACAGCTAACTCAGTCTCTTCTCCTCCACTCCACCTGAGAAAAGCACATCAGAAAGGTCAAAAGGACACGCGTTATTTGTGGATTTCACTCATTCCGAAATGAATTTCACACAGCAGCTGTGTGACGCCGGCGCCTCAAGTGTTGTTGTTTTGCACTAGTCAGCGTTCAACGTCAAGATCAGGATAAAAAAAAAATTTGCAAATCATCTCTGTAGTCTGGCAGCTGAGGTGGTGGTGTGATGGTGGATGAGTCTCAGGGCAAATGTGCTGAAGTGTTGGAAGTTCTCCTGACTGCAGCGTGTTGGTGTGAAAATGAAAGGCTGTTCTTCTGCAGTCATCCACCAGCCCTGCAGCCCCGCCCCTGTCTCTCTGCTCTGGTTATCAATAGCAGTTATGAAACTGCAGCTTCCCCAGGTTCTTTTAAAAATAAACTCAATTAATAAATCATATTTTACAACATGGAAAAGTTAATGAAATTAATCAAATGTAAAAATTCTAATAGGGTTTTCCAGTAACCTGGCCTCAAGTGACGTTGCAGTAGCATTTACATTTTTTTTTTCATTTTTCTCCTAAGGTTTTTTTCATACAGTAATATTAGAGTACTGCAAACTCAAGGGAGCTACGGATGAATCCCTGAGGAGACGCTGAGATCCTACTATTATTAGACGTCTCTATTATCAGAGCATACATCTGTGCTAATTCTGAGGGAAGCTAAAGCTGTAACCGTCACTTCTAAATGAAATTGTATGCATACATTAAGTTGTCAATGTCTAGAAATGTACATTACCAATAATTTTGGCAATGAGCATCACGATCTGTCATTAAGGCAGTAGGCTACAGGAAGTTGACAGGACCTTTCTTATTTCTTTTCTCACGGTTGGATGAAACTTTATCGTCTTTTTTTTTTTTTTTCTCTACAGGACAAAGGACTCTTCATCACAGCAGTGACGTCCTAGAGACCGTGGTCTTGGTCAACCCTTCAGAGGAAACCGTTTTATTAGAGGTAACTGAACTGAAATTAACACTATTTCTTATCAACTGATAAAACCGGTAATCAGTGATAGAGAGCAGAAGTATTGAAAACTCACGTTAGGCCCTCGCTTCCTTTAACTAAATCAATATCGTGAATATTTTCTCTCTAATAATTTACTCCTCGACGGAAGCTTTTTCTAAATGCCCCTTTGACAAACAGGTGAGATAATTTCTTGAAGCATTTGATGCCTCTTCTGAGCCCTTGATAACTCTTTGCCTCAGAGCGATTTAGATTAAACATGGGTTAGCTATACATCAGTAAAACTGCCTTTCATCTCAGTCAGGGAGAATTAAATAATGAACTGATGTCTGTTTTTGTTAAATTGATTTCTGTACTTTCTGTACCAAACAAAACTGACTCATATATTTCTGTTTCCATACACCAGCAGCTGTGTTTTATATGTTTCTTGTTTTTTCAGATCCAGTCTCTCGTCACAGACTCAGCAGGACAGAAACTCCTGGTCTTGAGCGGCCAGAGCTCAGATCACGGAGGTCTTCTCCTTCAGACGGGGGTTTTTACCTACCAGACCTTCTTACGTGTCTTTACTGATCCTGGGGTCAGTCTGTGTTAATGTATTCTATAAATGTGATGGTGTGAAAGGGTTTTTGTATGTATTTCTAGATTAAGCGAGTGTCACTGACTGTTTTGCCTGAATGTTTCAGGTCAGGGATTTACTGGGCACGACAGCCCCCAAGCAGCAGGCTACACTTACTGTGTCCTGCCGTGGGGAGGTGGGCTGGAACTCCGTGGGACACCAGCAGACCCTACGGGAGTTCTTGGAGTACAGACTAAACCCTGAACTAGTTCTCCCCAAGATGGAGGGAGTCAGCGAGTTCACAGAGTACGTCTCTGAGACCGTTGACGTTCCCTCACCTTTTGACCTCCTGGAAGCACCCACCTCTGGAGGGTTCCTGAAACTGTCCAAGCCATGTTGTTACATTTTCCCCGGAGGACGAGGAGACTCTGCTCTCTTCGCAGTGAATGGCTTCAACATCCTGGTGGATGGAGGCTCTGAGCGAAAATCCTGCTTCTGGAAACTCGTCCGCCACTTGGACCGTATCGACTCCATTTTACTCACACACATCGGCGCTGACAATCTCCCCGGCATAAATGGACTCCTTCAGAGGAAGATAGCAGAACAGGAGGAGGAGAAGTCTCAAGGCTCCACCAACTACAGTGAGTGGATGAAGAACCTGATTTCGCCTGAATTAGGCGTGGTCTTCTTCAATGTCCCAGAGAAGCTGCGTACGCCAGAATCTAATCTCAAAGTGAAACGCAGCATTGAAGAAGCCTCGCAAACTCTGCAGTACCTTAGCAAACTGGGAATTAAACCAGAGCCCTTGTTTCGTGTAGTGAGCAACACAATCGAGCCCATCACTCTTTTCCACAAAATGGGCGTGGGCAGGTTAGACATGTACATTCTCAACCCTGTCAAAGACAGCAAAGAGATGCAGTTTTTGATGCAAAAGTGGGCTGGAAACAGCAAGGCCAAGACGGGAATCGTGCTAGCAAATGGAAAAGAAGGAGAAATTTCCGTGCCCTACCTGACGTCGATCACAGCCCTGGTCGTTTGGCTCCCTGCCAGTCCAACGGAAAAGATTGTCCGAGTGTTGTTTCCTGGAAATGCACCGCAAAACAAGATCCTGGAGGGGCTGGAAAAACTGAAGCACCTTGATTATTTGCGCTACCCTGTGGCTACGCAAAAAGACATCGCCTCCGGAGCGCCTCCCACTGTTCTTAAACAAACCAAGTTAAAACAAAGAACAGATAGTAAAGAGAGTCTGAAATCCTCCCCTAAAACTACTGCAAAGCCGACAAAAAAAGAACCTGAAGGACAAGATGAGGTGTCAGCAGCGACAGAGGCAAAGATCGACTCCGTCAAGGAAAATATCATTGAGAAGAAAGAGAAAAAGCCGACAAAGACTATAAAATCCAAAACCGACGTTCCTGAAAAGAAAAAACTCCTAAAAGAGAAATCCGTTAAGAAACACTCTAAGGAAAGAATTTCAAAAATGGATGAGAAAAAGGACAAAGAGAAGAAAGAAATTAAGAAAATAAAGAAAGATGACGCTATGAAAAAAGATGAGAAAAAAGATGCTAAATCCAAGGAGGATAAGAAAAAGGATCCGTCCAAACCAGAACTAAGAAAAATTACCAAGCCTGACCTTACACCACTCACACCAGAGGTCAGAAAGACATTACATAAAGCTAAAGCCTCCACTAAGGCAAAAACTGTGAAAAGTAAAGTCACAAAGTCTCAAACAGCCGAAGTCAAACCAACAGAACAACCTAAAGTTAAAAAGACTGAAGCTGAGTCGGTGCAGAAACACTCTGTGGAAGGCACATCTGTTTTCTCCACACCTGAAGACCTCACCACGGACTTTGATGCACAGACCAAGGGTGAGGTTTTGTCTGAGGCTACAGAACCAACACAGAGACCTGAAGTTCCATCTGAACCAGCGACAGAAGAAAAGCAACAAGCAGAAGAAACACCTGAGATACCGTCTTTGGCAAAGTCTCCTGTAGAAGAGGCGACAGCTGCTGAAGAGAAAGATGATCTCAAAGACAAAGATGAGGCTTTGATGCAGGAGAGAGAGTTTGAAGAGGCCCAGAAGTTTGAAGACGAGGGAGCAGAAATTCAGGAGGAGGAGGAGGAAGAGGAGGAAGAAATGGTTCCACCTGTGAAAAAACAAACAGACGAAGAGGAGGAGGAAGACATGGGGATCGGTGAAGAGGAAGATGAATCCAAATGGAAGGAGGCAAAAGAAGACAGCCTTGACCGAAAACATGAGACAGAAGAAATGGAGAAATCTGAACATGTCTTTACAAAAGCTCAAACAAAAGAGGAGCAACATTTGTCCAGGGAGGAGCAGGTGAAACTGGATGAGGAAGAAGAGGAGGAGCCAGTGGAGAAAGCTGAACTGGAAGAGGTGGAAGACTTAGATGTGATCGCAGATGAAGAGATCAAAGTAAAACCAGGGGACGAAGAGGTTGAGGAACAAATGATCATTGAAAGCCGAGCTGCTGAAACCGTGTCTGCAGCCACATATGAGCAGGAAGAGGAGGAGGAGGAAGAAGGCTACCTGTCGCATGTCGCAGGAGCCACGGCTCCCATAACTTCAGTAGCTTACGGGGCCGCTGCAGCTGAACCCATCTCCTACATCCAAGACGAAACCATCCCTGGCTACTCTGAAACAGAACAGACCATTTCAGATGAGGAGATCCACGAAGAGGCGGAGGAGAGGATACCTCACCTCCAGTACGATGTCTGTGCCTACGACGTCTCTGTGCCGGATCAGACCGGATCGTTTGTGGATATACACGGCATGAGAGAGATGCAGGCGGCAACCATGGGCGAGAAAGGCTTCACTCCAGCCTTACAGGAACAAGTGTCTGTGTTCACAAACATCATGACCGCTCCTCTAGCAGAAGAAGAGCATGTTTCCTCCGCAACATCCATCACAGAGTATGACAAAATATCCTCCTTTCCTACTTCTATTGCTGAAGACCAGTCTGTGGCCTCTGTTGCTCCTCCTCAGGCTGAGGAGCAACCCAAAGCAGCTAGTCCCATGTTGACTCCCCCCAAAGAGGAGCCGCTCTCTGCCGAAACTCTGTCTCCACCGTCTTTGGAAGATGACAAACTAGCCAAGTCTCCATCGGATGACGCTCAGCCTCCTGTAGCAGAGGTCAAGGCAGTGGCCAAAGCTGCAGATGTTAGTGATGAAGAGGAAGAAGAAGAGGAAGAGGAGGAGGAAGAAGATCAAACTCCTAATGTTGAAATGTCACTGGAAAAACTCCAAGAGGGCTACGCTCTATCTCTGAAATTACAGAGTCAGGAGAAGGACACTCAAATGCAGCCTGACTCAGTGTTTCCTGTTCCAGTGTCTGCACCGGAAAAAACCATCCACCTGCCGGTGGAAGAGGTAAATATAGATGCAGTGGCACCTAAAGATATTTCATCAGTGGTGCCGACCAGACCTTTTGGATCAGACTCAGTAACGTCTGAGAGTGAGGAGCGATGTTTCAGTCCAGATGACGTCACTGTGAAAATGGCCTCCCCTCCACAGTCTGGTCCCTCCAGTGCAGCTCACTCCCCGATTTGTCAGTCACCGGTCGAGGACAAGATGAAGGTTTTCCCTGAGGTGGTTAAACAAAAACAAGAAGAGCTTTCTATATTTGAAATGACAGAGGACAAAACTAAAAAGACAGAGGACAAATCAGAGACGGAGACGCTGAAAGATGCCGACAAGGAAATGAGAGCACATGACGAAACATCTGACGACAAAGTCGTGAAGAAAGACATTAAAGACATTCCAGTCACTACAGAGCCGGAGGAAGACATTTTGTTTGCACCAACGGATAAGAAAACACAAGGAGAAATGATTCCTGTTGTTGCTGCATCTGTAGCAGACGTTCAGCCACATGTGTCGGAGAGGGAGTCCCTCGTCTCAGCTGGACAAAAAGATGAAGATAGTGGTGTAGAACCTAAAATCCCTCCTGTGGGTAAATCTCCAGAGAAGGACAGTCGTTTTTCGGATGATGAAGACAAGAAGGATGATGACGATGATGCATCTGCTGTTAAATTGCAGAAAGAAACAAAGGATTCCTCTGATATTAAACAAATAAAGGATGAGAAAAGAGAGGAATCTCCTACAAAAGAAGAGGTCTCATCCATTAAGTCAATGATAGACGAAAAGACAGAGAAACTGCTGGGAAGAGACGAAGTCCCCGATATTAAAGAAGTCAAAGAAGAGCAGAAAGAGGCTCTTGATGTAACCTTTAAAGATGAACAAAGAGAGATTAAAAAGGACCAGACAGCTGATGTCAAATCTGTGAAAGAAGTCGAGGTTAAAAGTGACGTCCCTTTGACTGAACAAGTCAAAGATGAGCAGAGACAAAAAGATGAGTTTGTAGACCTCAAGGCCAAAGATGTGTCAGAGATGAAGGCAGATGTGTCAGATGTTAGTATTTTAAAACAGGATAAGATCGAGAGAGACGCAGAGGTAAAGGATGAAGAACTGGGCAAAGAAAAGGATGACATCACTGATATCAAACCTGTTAAAGAGGAAATTAAGGAAGCGACAAAGGACGTTATATCCATCACAGAGTCTCCTAAAGAGGAAAAGAAAACAGAGACGGAAACAGCTGACCTTAAGGTGACAGGAAGTGAGAAGGAGGTGAAAGAGAAAAGTGAAATTAAAGTAACCAAAGAGGAAACTCTCCCTGGTGATTGGACGGTTTCTGTAAAAGATGATAAAGAGGAGAAGGAGGTTTGTGAAGACACGGTGTCCACCATCAGCCTCACACAACAAATGAAAAAGGATCTGATAGAGGCAGAAAAACCAGCTGCTGAAAAAGAAAGTGTAAAAGGAGAAGATGAAAACATCGGACTTTCTTTGGACAGAGTTATCACAGCCGGAGAGGATGGTGGCCTCATCTTAAAAGATACAAAAGAAGAAGCTGCAAAAGAGGCTGTTCATAGAGAAGACGCCGCAGCTGCTGTTACTCTACCAAAAGATGACGATACGAGTGTAATGTCCGGTCAGGACACAGGTCAGGAGGAGAGTAAGGATGAAACTGTTGGCTACAAACCTGTTCAGATGGAAGATGAAAAAGTCTCACTGAGTAAAGATGGTGAGGATTATTCGATTGTACTGAGCAAGGTGGAAGAGAAAGAAACTGAGGATTTTGTCAAACATAAAATAGAAGAAGACAAGGTGCAGGACGCAAGAAAAGATGAAACTTCTACTGTCACAGCATCCAAAGACCAAACAAGTTCAATACCTGACACTTTGGTTCCTAAACCTTCCATTGATGATGAAAAAGAGAAAGAGAAATTGAGTAAAGATATCTTTGCTGGAAAACTGCCTGAAGAAGAAAAGGAGAAAGAAGTGGAGAAGGTGGTGGAGAAGGAGGAAAAAGGCACAGAGAAAGATAAAGAAAAAATAATTCAAGATGTGTCTGATACCAAGAGCTCCATGCAGGAGAGAAGCACGGATGTAGCTGATGTGAAGTCCTGCACAGTAGAGGAGAAGAAAGTTGAAGTGAAGCTGGAGGTTAAATCTGACGAGAAGCTCATCAAAGAAGAAGCAAAAGACACATTTAAAGATGAAATTTGTGAAATTAAAGAGGCCGAAAAAGAAAAACTAGACAAAGAGAAGACTGATATTCCTACACCTGTTTCTGTTGAAGGACAAAAGGAAACAGATGTTGTTGACACTTCATTTAAAACCTCACCAGATGACAAACCTGTAGAAAAAAGTGAAATTGCTGAAAAACAAGTAACGGTGGGTTTGAAAGAGAAGGACAAGGTTGACATCTTGGAACAAAAACCTTCCTTAACCGACTCTACCCTTAAAGAACCTGCGAAGGAAGAGATTAAAAAAGAAAAAGAAACAGATTCTATAGCTGAAAAAGCCAAAGATGCAGAAGAGAAAGAGAAGTCTAAAACTGAAACCATCAAGGATGAAACAAAAGATGAAAGTAAAAAAGAAAACCTTGAAACTATTTCCAGCCAACTGGATGAAAAAGATAAAATTTCACCAACATTTAGTACAAGTGATGTGGAAAAAGAGGAGCATGACTATTATTTTGTGTCTGAGCCCAAGCAGGAGGATAAAGTCCAGGTTGATCTTACTTTTGGTCAGGCTCTGGGAGACGAGAAGATTAAAACTGATGATGTTTGTGACATTAGTAAAAAGCAGAAATCTGAAGAAAGTTCTCCTACTGACAAAGCCAGTGACGTTTCAATGGAAGTGAAACAAGATTCTGCAACAAAACCACAAACTTTCGAAGCAGAAAAAAAACTAGATACAAAAGAAAAGGTTGTTATTGATCCGGAAGAGACAACGGAAAAAGAAAAAGATGATGCCCACGTGGCTGAGCTGAGCAAAGAGAAGAAAATGGAAAAGGAACAAGAAAAAGAAATCAGTCACGTGGCTGAAGATAAAGATGAACAGAGGAAAGCAACAGAGGGAGGCAAGGCGATGAAAGATGTTGATTTTGAGGAGACAAAGACGGATAAGATGGCAGAAAAAGAAAAGTACGACTCCTCTGATGGAGACCACATTAAGGAGGAGAAATGGGAAAGAGAGGAGTTACAGGAAAAAGACCAGGAGAAAATGGTCAAACAACTGTCACAGACTGTTTCAAAGGAAACAGCAGGCGCTATGTCTGAATCCAAGCCTCTGTTTTTGGTTCAGTCCTCTGATGAAGACAGAGAAGAAGAGGAAGAGGAGGAGGACATCTGTATGGGAGGAGCAGGATCCAGACCTCTGTCAGTGGAGTTGAAGAAAACAGACCATGACATTTCATCTGCAAGTCCAAAATCACCCGTAACTGAACCAAGTGACCAAATGAAACTACCAACGTCAGAGCAGATAACGGTTGTCGTTCCTTCAGGTGCAACGCAGGAACCGTCTGTTGATGAAGACGTCAAAGATGTAAAACACACCGGATCTTCACCTGTGGCAGACAAAAAGGACACTGTTAAAGTAGAAGCAACAGTCACGCAGGTCGATAAACCAGGACTGTCCTGCGACATTGTCTCAAAGGATGAGACGACCTTTGTTTCAAAGGTAGAAGCAGCTCCTCAGCTCACAGCTGTTACAGCAGAGCTGTTTCCAGATGAACCTGAGAAAAAACCTGTGTTGTCGACATTATCAAGCACAGACAGTCAAGCCAGAAGCTGCACACTGTCAAGCACTGAGAGCCAGCTGAGCGTGGAGGAGATGCCACATGAGCTGAGCCTCGGGGTTGTGTCCACAGAAACAACAAAGCCAACTGTGAAAGCAGAGAAGGAGGCAGAAAGGGAGATGGAAGGGGAGAGGGAGGTGGCTTCTCCTGGACTTTCACGGCCTTGCTCTTATTTTATGTTGGCCAGGGAGGATGGCAAGGATTCTGCTAAAATCGATGATGTGAAATCACCCGCAGCAAAAGTGGAAGGTGAGGAAAAACTCCTCTCGCAGCAGGAGACCCTGCGGGAACGACACGTGCCCGACGAGGAGCCGAGCTTTAGGACGTCCAAATATGACCCGTATGAAAAGCCTGTCTCAAAAGACCATGACTCCAGAGATGAGGGTGAGGTTCCGTTAGGTTCCGATCCAAACGCCGACATTGACATGGATGATAACAGAAGAGTGAGTCAGGCAGAGGCAGGAGTGCCCATGTTTCTTCTGGACGATCAGTACAAAGAAGAGCCCTTGTCCTTCAGCAGAGTGGACTACAGCCCAGTGTCCCTCACTGAGAGTGAGAGAAGCAGCCACCATAGTCCAACCACCTCACCTGAACGTGAAGACAGAGAGAAGGGTCAGGAGGAGGAGCGGGAAAGAGAGGAAAGACTAGACATGTCTCACAGTCAGCAGAGCTTCACATCTATAGACATACAGGACAACAAACTGTCCCAGGCTGAGGAGACTTATTCTTTTATCCCTAAAGAGGACAAACCGGAGAAATCGGAGAAGGAAAAG